TTTTTTGATGTGGTCCCGAGATTTTGATGTGGTTGAGAGAGGTTGTCTTGCAAATTTATTACTTCAATGGTAAAGTCATTATGAGATAGAAACATTATGTTTAAATGAAAAAATATTTTAATATCCGTGAAGTGGAACAAATTTCTCATTAAATGGTAGAAGTGATTGGAAACTAAATGCATGTGGCAAGACGTGATTTGTGGTTGGTCGTTAGATTGATTTAGACGGTTGGGAGAGTTTTTGTGTGAGAGATTGCATGCTCCTTTTGGAAAAAGAGATCACCAATTATGCATAAAAAGTTGCTTTGGGTTGTTATTAGGCAAGGGTTAACTCTAAGTCCTTGTTTTTGTTTTTTAGAGCAAGTTCATGCTTCTTCACCTGACCACGAGATTCGTGGAAGCGAAAGCTCTTTAAAAGGATATCGTTGCTGTTGAGAATAAGCCACTACTTTAGATACTATATTTTCTAACAAACAATTACATCGGTGCTCTAAAAAATCAATATAGAATCACTCCACTAGGCGCCTTAATTTAAATTTAAAATTTATCACCTATTCCCTTGATTGTTACATCCAACCGAGAGGAAATATGATGAAGGAACCATGCTTCAAATCTCAACTCTTGTAGTTTTTATTTTTATTTATTTTTATAATATCTCTATTTAATTTTTAGAAGGCGTTTTTTTCTTATTATTTATTCTCTTGGAAATCCACCAAAACGTATGGTGAATTTCTATCAATCTTGATGAATAAGATTGTTATCACCACACAATGATAAAGAAAAAATTTTTAAAGAAGAAACGAATTTAGGGTGTTTGCAGAGTTTCTCTCTGCCCATAAACTGTGGAAAACTTTATTATTCACTTGCAACCGCAAATACTGTGAATGAATGAATTGATACAAAAATAAGGGTTACTCCCTCTATTTATAATTGAGCTTGCTTTCTCCCTAAGTCAAAAGTCCAAAACTATAAAAGCCCAAAATACCTATTTTGGAACTAATTCAAATCTAAATCAAATCTGCGTGTAGCAACTGCTTCGACACACCTAACACAACTCGACATACTTCGACAGACTAAGCCTATATTTTGACACACCTTGTGTCGAGCAACAACCTACTTCGGCGCAAGGAATTACACTTTCAAAAAACTACCTAATTCATTATGTCTAAACTATTTATATTCATCATATCTCTTAGTCTTCTGAATACTTCGACCTACACACCCTTCGTTGTGATGTCTGCAATCTGATTTTCAATTTTGTAGTGTTCTAAGTTTATCTTCTCATCTGCTACATGCTCGTGAAGATAGTGGAACCTCATTTCGATGTGCTTGCTTTGACCATGTGTTATCAGATTCTTTGCCAGATTGGTAACTGATATGCTATCGATCTTCATGGTAATTGCTCCATGATATTTCTCTGTGATTTATTCGATCAAATTCACCATCCATGTTGCTTGACATGCACAAAGAGAAGCAGTTATGTACTCTGCTTCACATGATGATAATGTCTCAACAGGTTCCTTTCTCGAACTCCAAGCAACTGGTGCACCACCTAGCATAAATACATATCTTATTGTGGATTTTTTTTCCAACATCACTACACCAACTTGAATAAGTTCACCCTACTAACTTGAATTCTTTTCCTTTATTAGCCGCGGGAAATAAAATTCCATAGTCAAGAGTTTCTTTCAGATACTTCAATATCCTCTTTGACGCTATTAGGTGTGATACATTTGGCTTCTGCACGAATCTACTTACCATACCTAGATTGTATGCTAAGTCAGGATTTGTGTGACAAAGGTATCTTAATGACCCAATAAGTCTTATGTATTGGGTTGGGTCGACATCATCTTCTTCTGAATATTTTGACAGTTGCTGTAACGCCCGTAATTTAATTAATTATTTAATTAAATTATTTTTGGAATATTTGTGAAGTTGTGTTATTATGATAATTGATGTGTGGTGGTTATTGGATTTATTTAGTTTATTAAGTTGTGGAATAATGTTATAATGATAATATTACTTGATGTGGACTTGTTTTAAGGAATAGAAGTAGTAAAAAAAAGGGTGTAGGGATTTTAAGCCCATTAAGGCATTTTGAGAATTATAGGATTATTTTATTATTGTTAGAAATAATAAGAAAAGAAGAAGAAGTAAGAGAGAAAGAATAAGGGTTAGAAGAAGAGAAGGAACGTGAAAGTTGCAGAAAAGAAGGAAAAGAGGCAGAACGAAATTTAATTGGAAAAGTTATAGAGCAACCTTCAATCCAAGGTAAGGGTGAAGTTCTGACTCTATAATAGGGTTTATGATGAGTAGTATGTGAGATTAGATGTGAAAGGTTGTTTTGTTAATGATTGAATTATATATATTGTTGTATGATGAAGATCAATGATTTAGAGATGAATAATGATGCCCTAATGTTGTTTAATTGATGTAGAAACATATGATTATTATAATTGGTGATTACCTATGATTAGAGGATGTTTTTAGGGCCTAAAGCATGGAAACCGCAGTGAAAACATAGTGAAATCACAGAAAATATTCATGACAAAACAGTATGTGTCGACACCAAAAGCCATGCGTCGATACATGAAGGCTTTAAGACTCAGGATGAGTCGATACGAAGGAGTCATGCGTCGATACATGAAGGCTTTTAGACTCAGGATGAGTCGATATGAAGGAGCATGTATCGATACACGCAGGGTGGCAGACTCAGTATGAGTCAATACAAAGGGAGTATGCGTCGACTCATGTAGCGTGTTAAGCCAAGTACGCGTCGATTCATGTAGTCTGGTTTTTGACATGTTCGTTTCCAGAGGCTGTAACTTGAGTTTCCGGACTCCGTTTGAGGCACCGTTCGAAACGTTGAATAGATGACGTGATGAACTTCATTCTTAAGGATTAAAATGAAGGATAAGAATAATAATCCTAGTACCCAAATTAGGATTAGATTTAGCTTCCCACATTAATCGCTATGATGATTTTGTGAAGAATGATGAGGATAAGACGGTTATAAATTATTGCGTGGTTCATGACAGTAAGATTAATGATGATAACGTTGTAGTATTACAGAATTAATAATATGTAGAGGTTTGGTAAATTATAGGTAAGCCTTAGATGATTAATTAATTATAGGCAATATCATGTTGTAGGCCTATGGCCAACGTTGAAGGATTGTCGGTCTGCCCGTTGTATTGTTGTTGTGGGTGAGTTGCTGCGAATTATGATGATAAATGATGTTTGATGAATTATGATGATAAATGATGTTTGATGAATTATGTTGATCAATGATGTTGATGAATGATGTTGATGAAAGATGTTGAGATGCCTCTAATAATTGACAGCTATTAAGATGTAGGCTTCTGGCCAACGATGATGTTGAGTTAAGATGTGTTAATTATGGTGTTGTCATTACATTCATGATTGTGTCGCATACATTTCATTTCAAGATGGAGGTGATGCTCATTAAGATGACATGTATTGGCGAATATTAAGATGAAGGCTTATGCCTTGTTGATGCCTCTATTTATTGGCAATTATTTTGAGATGGGAGTTCTGCTCCAATGGTACCACATGCATTTTCATAGTATTGAGTCGCATTATATGATTGCATAAAGAAGTTGTGTATTGATGCGGTGAATGTGTATATTGTTGGTATTTCTGTTGCGATTATTGTTGTTTATAAGATGAGAAGTGGTGATGTTATGTAATCTAATTTAATATATTAATTATCATATGTTTTATTATATTGTTAGATATCTCACCCCTTCTGTTTGAATGTTACCTTTATGTTGGTAACGTGCAGGTAATCCAGAGTGAAGGTTGTATACCTTCAGTAGTTCGAGTCGGTGTCATTGCTCTGATACGTAACACTCGGGGGGATGAACGCTTGTTGATTTTAATTATTAATGATTTTAGTTGTTGAACTTAATTTGATTGTTGCTAAGCACGTGTTTATTTTGAAGTTGTTGTAATTGTTAGACAAATATGTTATTAAGATTCCGATGCGTAGATGTTTAAATTGTTGAATTAAGAGATTAAATTATTATGCTGATAGTTCATCCAAAGTTTTAAAGTGGCATGTATCCACGTTGAATGCAACGTGTTTTTAAAGTTGAATTATTGCATCCTGATTTAGTTGCATGAATTTTATGAATCTGATTTGCATATATAATTGTCGGGTAGAATTGGGGTGTTACAAAGTTGGTATCAGAGCAAAGGTTGGTTCGTCCGACCTTGTTGTCAAGTCGTAGTTGTCTAACAATCGAGTATTGTTAATTTTAGTTCTAACCGTTGTTTATGTTGTAGTGATAAGTTGAGATGGCTGGAAGGAATGATGTTGCACTTACTGCTGCTTTAGAAGCAATGGCACATGCGATGGAGAATCATTCGAATGCTGACGAGAATGCTGGATCTCGTAGCTTGGCGACTTTCTAGAGAGATAATCCTCCTACGTTCAAGGGAAAGTATGATCCTGACGGAGCATTGGATTGGTTGAAAGAGATTGAGAGAATCTTCCGTGTGATGGACTGCACTCCAGCGTAGAAGGTTCGATATGGTACTCATATGCTAGCAGACAAAGCTGATGACTGGTGGCTAGAGACTTGTCTGAGATTGGAAGCTACAGGTGAAAATGTCATTTGGGCTGTGTTACGTAGAGAATTTCTGAGGAAGTACTTTCCTGAAGACGTTCGTGGTAAGAAGGAAATTGAGTTCCTTGAGCTGAAGCAATGGAGTATGTCGGTTGTTGAGTATGTTGCATAGTTTGCTGAGTTGGCTAAGTTTTATCCGCACTACGGTGAGGCAAATGCTGATTTTTCGAAGTGTATCAAGTGTGAGAACGGGTTGCGCCCAGAGATCAAGAAGGCAGTTGGATACCAGAAGTTTTTAGCCCGAATAAAAGGAGAGGGTTGTGTTAGGCAGTCGACAACCTAAAATTTTGTCGAATCTCTCTGACATTCATTTTCCTCTGACCCTTGTTGTTTGTTCATTATTCTCAAAATGCAGGATGTTGCATTAGCATCTATTTCGATGAGGTCGGTACCATTCGCGCTGGTTTTAGAGAAACTTTCCCTTTCAGACACAAAATACAGAACCGTTAGGCGGTTTTATATAAAAACTCTTGAAGACAATTCCATACCAATTTCACTTCAAGAAAACATGATAAATGCAGGCCCACCAGAAAAGGTTTTCCATCTGAAGGGTGCTGATCATTCTCCTTTCTTCTCAAAGCCTCAAGCTTTGCATAAGTTATTGGTAGAAATCTCAACAATCATTTGAGAACATTCGTTATTTAAATAAGTTGTTTTGAAATTCTAATGTACAGTTTCCTTATCACAAAAGGGTATTGTATGCAAGTTAGACAGTTCCTTCTTCTCTTATTTTTTGGAGTTCAATTAGGAAAACTAGCTATAGTCATTGATCAATATAACATTGACCCTTCAGATCGAAGGAGTAATCGGTGTCCCATACATGAGGTTACCACATTTTGTTATTTCAAAGTTTGATATATTAAGGTTTTCACACATTTTTCCCCTATAGACCAATTATAAAGCTTGATGAGTCATGAGTGTATATTTAAAATAATTAAACACATTATTTTAGTGGCATAGAATAAATATTGAACACACGAACATTTAAGTGGGAAAAACAAGAGAGTTTCTTAATATATCCTTAGAGATTTTTAGGGGGTTTTGGCGAAATTTCTGTAATATTCTTTAATTCGGATATGCATATTTAAGCTCATTACACTTCAGTTTTTTTATCAAATAGGTTCGGAGATGCATATTTGAAGCCACTAATTGGTAAATTTCGGAAACATATCTGAAATAACTCATGTTTTTTTAGTGAAGGTTATTTCGAATAAGCATATCTGAATTATGCAGAACCATTAATAGATTCCATTTTAGCATAATCAACACCATAGAAACATGAAAAAATTAAACCGGTAAAAGTAAACAGCGGTAACCAAAACAACTTAACATAGATTTAACATAAATAGTCGAAATTACATAGATAGTGGAACAAAAATTTAAAATTACATATTGTTATAAATGGGTAGATGAGGACGTTGCAACATTTTGTTAACATCTTCTCCCGATATTTGATGCTCCGCATCCACTTCAATCAGACCCTTAGTAGAGTATCGATGAAAAGTATTCCACATAACCTTTAAATCGTCATCTTAAATGGTATCAGAGCTTAATAAACTCTGGTAGCCATTGTCTTGCTTCTTCTTTCTTTGCTATTCGCGATTGTTCTCACTGATTTCTTTTTCTCTTTCTCTTTCAATCGCGTGTTCAACTATTTTTCTTGATTCTTCCAATGGCGAACCAGAGTTATGCCGATTTTCAATCATTTCTACAAATCCTTACTACCTCCATCTGAACGAGAATCCAACACTCGTTCTTGTTACTCCATCTCTCAATGATAAGAACTATCATACCCAGGATCAGTCGATGCAAATTGCGCTGATATCCAAGAACGAGGAGAAATTCATCGAGGAACCCTAATCAAGCCTCCAGTTTTAGAGGCTCTATATGCGCCATGGATTCGTTGTAATACCATAGTTCTTGCATGGATTCAACGTTCAATTTCAAAGTTTGTTGCCAAATCCATACTATGGATTGATAATGCAGCTGGTGTCTGAAATAATTTGCAGATTACGTTTTGACACGACGATATCTTTCACATTTCCGATATTCAAGAAGATCTTTACAAATTTCGTCACCGTACGCTCGACGTTTCTAACTATTTTACTCAATTGAAAGTTATATGGGATGAGTTATAAAACTATCGACCAATTCCTTTTTATTCTTGCTCAATTCCATGTTCTTGTGGTGCCATTGCATCGGTTAAGATGTATAGAGAGCAAAGTTATGTCATACGATTTCTCAAAGGCTTAACTGAAAAATTTGTGCATTCAAAGTTGAAGATTATGATGGTGAATCCCTTACCTGATATTGACAAAGATTTTTCACTTGTTATTCAACAAGAGAGAGAGAGAGAGAGAGAGAGAGAGAGAGAGAGAGAGAGAGAGAGAGAGAGAGAGATGACTAGTTTTGTTTTTGTTGAGATTTCATATGCAAGGACAAATAAAGAAGTTCCTGTTTTACAAGTTCAAACTCATGAAGGGAATTACAATGTAAAGCATGGTAACAACAATTTCTAAGCTAAGAATCAGGGATACAACTGTCCAAGAGGTCACAAGAGAGTTAGTAAACCTTACGGTAGGACAAATCACACATTTGAGACATGCTTTCTAAAGCATGGATTCCCACCAGGTTATAAAGGCAAAGGCAAGGTTTAAAGTACTGCAACTAATTCATCATCAGCTGCAACAATTAACAATGCATCAAAAGCTTATCCTTGGGGTTCAACTTCTCCTTCATTTGGCTTTACTTAAGAGCAGTACAACAACAACTTAGAATTACTCCAGCAGTCCTAGCCCAATACCACAGTCAATTATGTTTCCACTTCACCCCTTGTCATGCATTCTCACTCCTACAATGTGAATGGTAGAAACCCTAATCTTTGGATCTTAGATACTTGTGCTACTGGTCATTTTTCTTTCAATTTTTCATCCTTCATTGAATATAAAAACATAGTTCCCATCCCTATTAGCCTACTGATCATTTTTCTTTCAATTTTTCATCCTTCATTGAATATAAAAACATAGTTCACAAGTTATTGCATCAATTTCTGATATTGTTGTCATATCCTCTTCATTAACCTTACATAATGTGCTTTACATTCCTAGTTTTCATATAAATCTTATCTTTATTTCCAAGTTAGTAGATAACAATAATTGTTTTGTACAATTTAATGCTAATACATGCCACATCCTGCATAATCATTCCAAGGAAATGACTGGTATAGCTAATTTTCAAATGGGGCTATAAGTTCTTGATTCTACAGCTCATCATTCAACCAATTCTTCTGTTGCATATAATTCTTGTAATCTGTGGCACTTAAGATTAGGCCATATATCACCTATAGGTTTACAAAATGTTTCCAAAGTTTTTCCTTTCAATTCATGTAATAATAATATTGTACCTTGTAACTCTTGTCACTGTGCTAAACAAAGAAAACTTCCCTTTCCTAATAACATTTCTCATTCTTCTGCCTCTTTTAATATTCTGCATTCTGATTTATGGGGGCCCTTTTCTACTATTTCCACTTTAGGACATAAGTATTTTCTAACACTTGTGGGTGATTATACAAGACATACTTAGGTAATTTTCCTTAAAACTAAAGATCAAACCAAAACCATCCTTATTCACTTTGTTGCATACATAGAAAATTAGTTCCACACCATACTTAAATGCCTAAGATATGATAATGGGACAAAGTTTGTTACATTGTTAGATTTCATTCTATCCAAAGGCATCATTCACCAAAATACTTGTGTTGAAACACCCCTAACAAAATGTGGGTGGCGGAGAGGAAACATCAACATATTCTTAATGTTGCTAGGTCTCTATTTTTTCATCCCAACATTCCCTTGAATATGTGGAACTTCTACATACAACATGTTGTTCATATTATAAATAGGCTACCCACGCCTTTACTTTAATCCAAGTGTCCATATGAACTTTTGTTTAACCAACCCCATCCCTCATTCATTTTAAAGTTTATGGGTGCTTGTGTTTTGCTACCTCTTTACAAGCCCACGGGACTAAGTTTCACTCTAGGTCTAGGAAAGCCATATTTCTTGAATTTAGATAGGGAAAAAAGGGCAATATTCTTTATGATCTCCAAAACCATAGCATTTTCATCTCAAGGAATGTTGTTTTCTATGAAAATAGATTTCCTTTCAAACCTCAAACTTTACCTGCTTACATTCCTTCACCACAAGTCCAAAATTTGGATGATATTTAGCATGAGATACACCATATTTTTCCTAGTTAGAAACCTAGAACCACTTATATGTCCTTTTCTTATCATACAACTGCATGCAACAATGATAGTCATGATAGTACCCCTAACAACTCACCTTTTCCTCTTACCTCTCCTAGTCCTAGCTCACCCAGTCCTAGCCCAATTGACTTAAGCTTTCATACTGATTCTAGTCAAGTTGATCTTAGTCTCACCAGCTCTTCAAACCCTACTGATGTTCCCTTCCCAATACACCTCTTATATCTCCTAATTTTGAACCTGTTACAACAATTGAACCTACCTCTGCACCTATATCAGACCATAACCATCCTTTACCTATTGATTCCTCTTCTGATTTGAACCAATTTGATGGCCATAGTCATGTTTCCATTGAAACGTCTGCTATATCCCATACCTTTACAGAAAATAACCCTTTACTCATAAGACATTCATCTAGACCATATCACCCTCCTCAATACTTAGGAGATTATCATTGTTATTCTTCTACTTCTAATCTCTCTTCCAAAGTACTACTCCCTCTGTCCCAAACTAATTGTCACATTTAAAAAAATTATTTGTCCCAAAATACTTGTCACTTTACATTACCAATGCAGTTTTATTTTTAATATTCCAATTGTACCCTTTAATAAATGCTCTTACTTTATTGTTTTCTCACTTAACATTAATGCTAATTTGAATACGCCTATCATTGATACAAATAATTTGGTAAAATTACTATTCCGTCTCTTTTATTTATTATAATTTCTTAATTTGTGTGAAAGTGTCAACTATGACAATTATTTTGGGACGGAGGGAGTATATCCCTTATCCTCTATTCTTACTTATGATCAATGTTCACCATCATATATTCTCTTCTAATATTGAACCTAAAACCTTTAACCAAGTCATTAAATTTGATTGTTGGAAACATGTTATGTATGTTGAGCTACAAGCTGCTGCAGAAAACCAAACATATAATGTAGTTGATCTTCCACTGGTAAAAGTTCCTATTGGTTGTAGGTGGATTTACAAGATAAAATACAAGGCAGATGGATTCATTGAGAGGTATAAAGCTAGGTTGGTAGCTAAAGGTTACACCCAAATGGAAGGTATTGACTATTTTGACACATTTTCCTTTGTAGCTAAAATAACAACAATGAGAGTATTATTGTCTATTGCTTTTATAAAAGGTTGGTATCTAGAACAATTAGATGTTAACAATGTGTTTCTTCATGGTGACTTACATGAAGAAGTATACATGACACTTCCTCCTGGTTTCTTCACATCCCATCCTTCTCAAGGGTGCAAGCTTCAAAAGTCTTTGTATGGTCTAAAGCAGACAGGCGGACAGTAGTATTCTAAAATCTCATCTTTTTTTATTTCTTCGGGTTGCTCTTAATTAG